AAAAAAAAAAAAAAAAAAAAAAGCTAAAGAGAGTTGTTCCATTCCAACAAAGAAATGGGCATCAAGTACAGGGCAAGTCAATTCTTACTTTCCTTCACACAAAATGAAAGGCATATAAATTAAAATTTCTCCTATTTAACAAAAAATAAAAAATAAAAAAAGTTAAGTCTATACTTCCAAGCAAACCCAATGACATGATAAACGTGTCGGGTTCCAAGAATAAAGCCGCATCGGTTGATGAACAATATCATACCATTGATTTGAGACAAGATGAAAGATAGATGGATCAAAATAGGCCATTTTCTTTCGTATTTAAGGCACCTACCCAAACTCACCAAATCATTGAATAGTGAAAATGGCATTTCAACAGATTCTTATTCTTTTTTTCTTTTATGTTGGAGTGGGGGCAGTGGTTGAAAGAGATGGTGGTTTGCTTTGTCACATTTGGCTTTGAGTTGAAGCTGGGAATTGAGAAGCTGTCAACATGTATAATCTATCTTTGCTGCATCAATGGATGAAAACTCATCTTCCTGCATTCATGGTACACTTCTAGCACGAACGATGGCTTACCGTTCAATCACGTCCGACCCTGCATCGTCAAGTAACATCATTGCAGTATTTGTCGACAAGAGATGTCGAAAAATTGCACACATGAGCATGTCTCAAATATTCAGTAACTTGGCTCCACATTCAAAGGGGTCCACGAAAACAGGGATATAATGTAACCAGCAGCAATTCACCTAACCATACTCCAAAACAAGAAAGCAACTGTTTGAGAGATCTAAAACCACAGTTCTTTCACTTTTCTTTTCAAATTGTTTACAAGAACGGTTTAGGGTACTTCACAAAAATAAGTAATCTTTGAAGATCCTAGACAGAAGAAAAAAAGAATCAACTGTGAGATCCCACATTAGTTGGAGAAGAGAACAAAACATTTCTTATAAGGGTGTAGAAACCTCTCCCTAGTAAACGTGTTTTAAAACCGTAAGATTGACGACAATATGTAATGGATCCAAGCAGATAGCATTCACTAGCGGTGAATTTGAACTGTTACAATGACGGAAGCACATTCAATCGTCAGCTCTAACATGTTCTGAAAAACAATTCATTTAGATTACAAATAATTGAGTGATAACAAAAAAATGTTTATTTCTCTCATATAGATAATCAGACAACAAAATGAACAGTTTAAAATGATATCACATAGCCAACCTAAAATAAGTCTTTTGGTTTAGACAAATACCGTCGACTACGAGGTCACAAGTCCGAATCCTCCTCGCCATGTCAACGTACTAGAATCTGCAGTCAATAGCCAGTTGATATTGAACAATTACATCAACTATTTGGTTTGCTTTCTGAAATAGACAGATTCTGCAATAAGGACAGAATCTCTGTTTATGTACTGTCTTTGTACTAAAGCTTCAGGGCACTGAGTTAGAGGCTTTAAGAAAAGACACAAGGACTTCATAACAACCAAAAACAGGAATCAAATCCGGACCAGAAATGACAGTTTTTATATCATAGATTTTTCTACCGGTGCCAAATAGTTCTAATGCCATAAGTTATGATATCCCACTACACACTGAGTCACTGACCTAACTTCTTTAGCTTATATAACGGTATCAAAAGTAGCTCACCAAGTAAATTCATATTGCAATCAAGTCGTTCACGACTAATGCTTGTTCATGTGGCTCGACGGCTCCAACATGCATCTCAAGGCAGTCACTGCCACATCCTAATGTGTACTTTTCAGAAACAACTTCTCCTGATATGGTGATAGTGATAGTTGAGTGAAATTCAGTATGGATATAGAAGGAAGAACTTCAACATTCTACTCCATGTATTCAGGACCAGACAAAAATCTGGCAATTTCTATGCTAGGCAGAATATTGAGTGTAAGATGATGGTTAATTGTACTTAAAACCATTTCCTGAAACAGACAAGGAGTGTGAATATCTGAAACAGCCTAAATCCACCGCTAGCACACATTATTCACTTTAGCTTGTTACATATTGCCGTCAGCCTCACACTTTTAAAACGCGTCTATTAGAGAGAGGTTTCCACACCCTTATAAAGAATGGTTTCCAATCTGAGATCTCACAATCCACCCCCTTGGAGGCCTAGCGTCCTCGTTGGCATATTACCAAGTGTTTGACTTTGATACCATTTGTAATAGCTCAAGCTCACCACTAGTAGATATTTTCCGCTTTGGCTCGTTATGTATCTTCGTTAGTCTCACAATTTTAAAACATGTCTACTATGGAGAGGTTTCCACACCCTTATAAAGAATATTTCGTTCCCCAACGTGGGATCTCACAATATCATTCCATTTATGGCTTCCAAATAAGAAAAGAACTCTATGGGGAAGAGTTTTTACATAATTAAACGAATGCATAGTAGGTATACATCATTACTACCAGGTAGCTTCCTCGGTTTCCTTAAAGAAACAAATTTTGCTCCGATAGCCAACGAGATCGGAGGGCAAATATAAAACCCCGAGCTTATACTCCTTCCAAGCAACCTTAGATTTCAGGAATGAATGTAGATGACATGATGTTACTTTGATCAAAATGCTTCATACACAAGCACGTTACTTCTAGACAGGAAAGTATGACTACAAAAGATGTAGTTAGTTAGCTTAAGCAAGTAAGCAGGGAAGCAAAAGGAGACGAGTAAGTGTATGAATGCCTGAAACTATGTCTTGGAACATGATACCTGCCATTGCAGCCATCAACATAAACAAAACAAAATAAAACAACCATTAAAACACAAAGGGTCTCATTATAAACACCCAACAAATTTCAGAAAAGAAGAAGAACAACAAACTTCCCAAATCATAACCAAAAATGGGTAATGAGTCATCTTCCTCCCTTAAAAAGAACGAACCCCAAGATCCGTTTAACAAGAAACAAGACAGTGAATACATACAGCTTCCCAATACAATGCACGGTTTTAAAGAAATATCAGTAGGAGCAAACCTGGTTGAGGGAAATTAGGCACAACGCGGAACTTAGTACTGATGCCATGGATGCGAGGATCCTCGTCTCCGTAAGCTGTCTTGTCGAAGGTTATAACAGGACAAAATACAACCCAAAAGAGAAATTATCACAACTCTACCTCACTGACTGAAAGAAGGGAGTTCAAAAGGCGAAGGGCAGAGGGGAAATGGGTTTAAGACAGAAAAGATGAAAATATAAATAAAATGGAGAAATGGTTCGAAACTGTGGCTCTGCGAGGAAGGAATTCGAGAGAGAAATGGTCAAAAGAGGAAAAAGGGGGAACAAGAAGCAGAAGGAGAAAGGGAAAGGCGCTGTTTATGGCGATTTCGCGCGCTCTGGCAGTGTCACTAAGACATCCAATTGGGATTGGGACCGTCTTTTCCAAAATGCCCAAATAAGTGCTTTTTTGTTTTAAACGAAAAAGTTACGACTCTTTAGTTCATAGTTCATTTATGTACGCTAAAGTTCGAGCCATGGCTAGAAATTTGCATCAATATTTTCACCCAACTTTGGAGCAACACATTTTGAAGGAATCAGTTTATTGGTACTTAAAATGAAGATTTTACATAATTTTGTTTCTTAATTTAACGATCGTAGATTGAACTATCAGCCTAATAAACTCGTTCCAACACTTTTTAGTCTATCAAATTCTCTCAATTATCTTACTCGAGTAGCCTGGTAGGAAACATGTTGAAACTAATGTATCCATGGGACAACACACTCCTATACAGGTTTGTTTCAACAATTCAATGCTCAGAATAAACTGAATCTGCATTTAACTACAACACTCCCATAATTTGCCCATCAGTTATTTCAAGTAATCTGCAGTCTGCAACTGAGCAGTGTTTCAAAAGCAAGGTCACCATTGAAAGAACTTTCACAAAATGGTTCTTCGTCTGGATCGTTTGCTCTTCGTAGGCACGCTCCATTTCTGTCCATCTTGCATTTTAGCTCGGATTTTTCGGTATTCTCTTGACCGTAAAACAGCCTCCATAATGTTAATATCTTCACAAATCTCATGTCTTGAAAGACAGGATAGACTAGGAAGTATCTCTCTCTGGAAGTCTTTCAATCTTCTTCCCCGCCTCAACTTAAAGCCAACATTCATGTTCTCCAGGTCAACTACTTCAGACAGCTGCGACGATACAGAGAACTCCTCGTCTTCACCGTTTTCTGCTTGCTTTAGAACTAGTAACTCAAAGGAATCAGAAGAATGCTGTGGTTGATCCACCCGAACTTTTCCCATGCCATTAGATTCTGTTTTTGTGTTACAATCATGAGCTTCGCCTGAATCAGCCAAAGACATAGAAACAAGGGACTCAGCAGCATTTTGAAGTAGAAGTTTCATTTCAGAAGATTCTTCATCATGTTCTGATTCAATGCTACAAGAAGACTTATGATCTTGCTCAGTGGACAAGATGGTTTCTGTACTATGCAGCCCCTTTTGAGTTTCATAAGACTGGTTACTAGAGAGACTCAAAATTTGCACCTTTTTCTCCCCACCAGAGTCATTTTCTGCATTACAATTAGACATGCCCGAAATCGTCAATACTCCGTTGCAACCATCTTCTGCAGCATGATTACAGTCAGAGCATACTTCACTCTTTTGAACCCTTGTATGCCTGTCAGCAGGAGGCTCAATTATAGCCTCCAATTTTTCACTTTCGTTGTCACGACAGTTCCTGAAGTTGTTAGAACCGTTTACTATTGACTCCATCGGAGCTTCATCCCATTGAGTGTTATACATTTCACATGTATTTGTTCCCTTAAATTTGGACTCTGTAGTGTGAGTTTCATTTGCATCCTGATCAAGTGTGGAAGATTCAGTAGAACAGTTATTCTTCTCTTTGACCCTAATAGGGGAGGTGCAATTCGCCTGTTGTACCTTGCCAAATGCTCCCTTGAAACCAGATGACGATGTTGAGGTTGAATAGCGAGTCATAATAAGATCATTCGAGTGACAAGATGAATCATCATTCTGAGCTTCATTAAGGTCCAGATATCCTGCTTCATAGGACCCAAACTGTTGGTTCTTGATAGGGAGATAGTCACTTGAGATATGACCATGGCTATTTTCAGATTCTGCAGAAATGACAGCACTTGAGAAATGCTAAATGGAAATAAGATCCCAATAAGAAGGATCATGAAACCAATCTTTACCTGTGCATTCAATTGTTGGAACATTTAGATCTAAAGAATATACATTTTCGGCATCGTCGTCAATCGAATCTTCCAAATCAATAACTTCTTGAGAGAGCATACAACGAGACTTCTCGTGCATAAGTATTTCTTTGTCGCTCTCCTTTTCTCGGTTCCCCACTCCAAGATCTAGAGAAAGATCTAACTCTTCCAAGTCTGGTTCTCAAAGATTACCACCACAACAAGAAATCTTACTTTTTGAATTTCATTATATTGAGATCAGGTACATTTGAGAACCCTTACCAATGAGGCTGATGTACTGATCTGCAGGAAGCTGCAAATTGAGATGCTTGAGCTGAAGCTTGCAGTTTTGAGCTGGCCGCTTTTGAAGCTATCAGAAAAGCAAAGATTTGAGTCATTCATCACTGCAACGAGTTCGAGTATATCCAACAAGCTGTTGTTTAGTTCATAAGATAATATACTCATAAAAGTCAGCAAACTCATTTACCATACGAATCGAGAAAACTTCGGTTTCTTTCATAAATGGATCATATCTTGCAGGATTTGCATATGGCATGAAAGTTGATTTCATCCCGGCTTTCCTAAAACCGTGTCGGTCAAACTCCTCGACGCCAAAATTCTGCATCAGTATCCTTTGTACATCGTACAATCGATGTAATTCAAGAACCTGAAGCAATATGAGAAGATAAATAGAACAACTAGTTACAGTTAGTAAGAACCTTATTAGAGATCATGAATTGTGTTCCCAATACCTGATTCCTAAACATAACTTCCTGGCTCAGCATGGTTTGCTTCAATGCATCTTTAAACGAACCAGAATACATTTGTACTAAATCTAAACTCAAATCTCCTTGAACCAACATTGCCCCCTTAACCAGACTATCCCTCACATTGGAATAAAAACTCGCCCCCTTAGCCGTGACATAAAGAATGCTTCACGCAGACGACTTCAATAACCAGCAGCCATCATTGTAAGTTATCTAAAAGGAAATGTAAAGTTTCTCAAAAGACGCAGAGACATATTTCTACAAAAATGTATAGATTGACATAGCTAGCGATGCATTGTACAGATAAGGCAGCCTACCGCAAACACTCAACAAATACCAACAAATTGAAGTTTATAGGAAGAGTTCCGCCAAATATCGTGCATTTTAAAGCCATCAAACAAAAGGGTCGAATTCACAAGATCCCACAAGTATACATAACAAAGGATTCTGCCCTTTGAGAGGCAAAGGGCTTGAAGTAGAGACACTAATCGAATACCCATTCTGAACCCCACATCGGTTTTCCCAGAAAGAAATTAAACACACAGAAAGAGACAAAGAGAGTTAGAGAGTACCATGAGAGAAAGATCCAAAAGCAGGGGAAATGGAAACATGGGGTTGGTTCTTGGGTGTTCGGAGTGTTGAAGTGGATTAGATGAATGAAGAAGAAAATGGGTTTGTTTTATTGGATTGTTGTTGAGATTCCGAGAGAGAAAGAAGAGGAGGTGGGGGGCTGAGGGTAAGACGGAGCAGAAATGCGTGCGTCGGGAAAGGATCACAAAAAAGTACGTAATTTTATTTTCCTTTTCTTTTCTTCTGGACTAACTTTTTCCATTTCATTTGTGTATTGATATTTGTGCCGCTGTCTTTTTCCCTCTCAAACATCGTGATTCTTTGTTATAACTCATAACTCTCTTTTTCATTCGTTAACCTGCTCCTCTCACACATTTTGCTGTGTGGACGCCCCTCTCCACTACAATCTGCTTACCTGGCCACTTGCCTCCTGCTGATGTGGATATTAAATGCTTCCCTCTTCTACGCGAAACTCATTTGATTGGTCCACGTTCTCCTACTCTTTCAACCCTCACCCCTCCTAATACAATTTAGTATTTTTTTAATTATCTATTTATTTGACCGTAGACTTAAAATTTGGTTATTAATTTAATTTTCTTTAATATTCAAAATGTATGTATTTTTGTATATGCTTATTTGAAACCTCACATCAGAGGAGAATAAAGTATTTATTAGAAGGTTGTAGAAACATTTCTAGTAAACGCGCTTAACCTTTGAGGGAAAATTCGGTGTGCCAACAGTGACTTTGGGTCCTAAAGGGTGAATTGTGAGATCTCACGTTAGTTGTAGAAGGGAACGAAACATTTCATATAAGAGTATGGAAACCTCCCTCTAATGCGTTTAAAACAATGAACTAAAGCGGATAATAACTGTTAGCGGTAGGCTTGGGGTGAGCTAAAGTGGACAATATCTAAGGGGAATGAAGCATTTCATACCATGGTGTGTAAACCTCTCCTTGACAAACGCGTTTTAAAACTGTGAGACTAGCAGTGATACATAACAAGCTAAAACGAAAAATATGGACAATATCTCTTAAGAATGAGCTTGGATAAGCTTAAAATATAGAGACGTTGGTGTGTGCATAATGTATAAATTTTCATGAGAAGTGGAGGACAAAGCATAAACAAATTTAATGAATCAGTACAACTCATGGAATGCCTTCGGCTTCCATCAAATTAAATAAACAAGCCTTTTAAAATATTATTAAATTTTTCAAGACAAATAATACATACATAATATTATATTATATGCACCCACTTTAGGAGTCAGCTGGCTCTGGCCCCACCGCAATATTTTTTTCCTAAAAAATAACTTTTTTAGACATTTTTAATCATACAAACAATTCTTTTTTATTATTATTAGGGTTCTTTTCCTTCTCAAGATGTCATAAAAATTTGAACGTGTAATTTATTCTCAATATTTATAACTAATAAGGAATTTTAATTATCCATTACATTAATTAAATTATTCCAAAAAATTGATACACGTAATTGAGGGTGTTACAATACTATTCTCTTAATTAATGGGTCGGTATTGCAGTCTATCTTCTTAGAGCTAATCTCTATCTTTTTCGAATAAACTTTTACATGTGTTTATTATCTTTTGGGAAGCATTATTGACCATACCAACCTTCATTTATCCGGTGCATTTAACTCTAATAACTCTAGTGATTAGGTTCATAATTTTATAAATGTATGTATTTAATATATACATTTATAATCTACTCCATTCTAATTTAACTAATCTTTAAATAAAAAAGCAAAAAAGGAGCAATATTGGAAAGATTTTCGAAAATACAATAATATACAACAAAAATTTCATTTAACTAATATTTAACTAAAAAACAGCACTATTTGAAAGAT